GATCCAGGCTGACCTGGACAGGCTCAGCAACTGGGCGGATGAGAACCTGATGGTGTTTAACACCGAAAAATGCAAGGTTCTCCACCTTGGGAAGAAAAACCTGCAGCACCCTTATAGGCTCGGCAGTGCTACGCTGGCTAGAACTACGAAAGAAAGAGACTTGGGGGTCATCATTGACCACAAGATGAACATGAGCCTGCAATGCGATGCTGCGGCTAGTAAAGTGACCAAAACGCTGGCTTGTATCCATAGATGCTTCTCAACCAAATCCCGGGACGTCATTCTCCCCTTGTAGTCGACCTTGGTGAGGCTGCAGCTGAAGTACTGCATTCAGTTTTGGGCTCCACAATTCAAAAAGGATGTGAAGAAGTTTGAGAGGGTCCAGAGAAGAGCCACGCACATGATCAGAGGTCAGGAAAACAGACCTTACGATGACAGGCTGAGAGCCATGGGGCTCTTTAGCTTGGAAAAGCGCACGCTCAGGGGTGATCTGATGGCCACCGATAAGTTTATCAGGGGTGACCACCAGTATCTGGGGGAACATTTGTTCACCAGAGCACCCCAAGGGATGGCAAGGTTGAATGGTTATAAACTACTACAAGACTGTTTCAGGCTGGACATAAGGAAGAATTTCTTTACTGTCCGAGCCTCGAAGGTCTGGAATAGCCTGCCATCGGAGGTGGTTCAAGCACCTACATTGAACACCTTCAAGAGTACATTGGATGCTTATCTTGCTGGAATCCTATGACCCCACCTGACTTCCTGCCCTTCGGGTGGGGGGCTGGACTCAATGATCTTCCAAGGTCCCTTCCAGCCCTAATGTCTATGACATCTATGAAATCTATGGAACTCGCAGAGGGTTCTAATCTTCTTACTATTCTGTTTAGATTTCACTGTTACTCAGTATTGCTATTCTCTCACTCCACAGGTGACTAATGAAAGGCTAACTTTTGGAAGGCCTATATTGCAAATATAGTCAAAGAGATTATATTTTTTACTTCTAGCAATTCTACAGTTCACTCACCCAGTGGTTGAAATGGTAAGGTATAGTAATCTGAATATATAGTGAATCATAATAATATTCCAGCATAGTGCTATGGCAAGGTACATTTGGTCTTTTAAAGTAAAATCATATTTTATTACATAAATTAGGTTGAGATTTACAAAGCTGACTAGGGGGTTTAGCCACACAAATCCCACAATAATAAAAGAGTTGGGCAGTTAATTCCCCCATGAGCTTAGAAAATCTCCAATTTAAGTTACAGTCATACACCGTATTTTTAATACAGACCTGACCCAGATCAAGCTCATTTTTGCAGAAAGTATACATTTTTAACCTGGTAATTTGACTTAAATCTCAAATACCAGTATTCAAACTCAGTTTCAATATCTCCCTTTATAATGCCCATATCCTGTGCAAAATTTCCACTGACTTCCACATTGTAATGGAAAGATCAACCTTAAAAGGTATTTGTAGGTTCAGAAGAAAGGGTTTTCAGAGGTCAAAGATGATGGCTATATTGGTAGTACACCCATGTACCCACAGAACCGTATCTTTGACTTAAAAGGGCAAGATGATCAAACGTTAGAAAGTCAGAAAAATAATGCATGGGAACCAGTGCCTGTTTGAAAGCTTTAAACAGTCAATGTAAGTCTTTATATCTCTAAATGTTCTTCCAACATACATTCACTGCAGAGAATTAAGCAGTGAGCAGACAGAATCTCCTCTGCAGTGGGTGATTAGTTTCTCCTCTGTTTTCCTCCCACCCACCACACCACTACTGCTTTCCATGACAGCTGCAAGCAACTGCCTCTTGGGTACCACTTTAGAAAGTATAGCTCAGTTGAAATCATTATAGTTACTGGGGTGCAGAGAGTAGAAGAGTATTCGGGCATATTCACACAACAGGTGGAGTTACCTCCCTTGGATGAGAGCATGAACATAAGGGAGACTTAAATTTTCTGGCATAAGGCAGCAATCCTACAGCTAACAAACAGGATTTTACAATTTCATCTCAGGTGCAACCAAGCAAACTAATGTTTTTGTCATTAAATCAGACAGTAATGAAGACCCATGGTAGAGCTCTACCCACTTACACAATATCTAACAGCAAGGGGACTATGATGAAGTAATACTTAAATGGGTATTAAATGTAACAGCAGATCCAGCTAACAATAGTTGACTTTGTGAACTCCAATACAGATACAGTTCATAACATGAAATAACTTTAACTGATTCAGGGGCTTTCACACCACCCTCTTTGATAACCTTTTTCACTCCTAGCCCCTCATCTTTTTCTTTGACCTATCATGCTGTTTCCAATTCTGACATGTCCCTTTTACACTCAGTTCCTAACTCACTGCCCATTCTATAGATCAGGGGTATCAAATGTATGGACTGCAGCCCAGATCCAGCCCAACGGATGGGCAGAGTGAGTCTGACACCCCTTCTATGAGCCCATCATTTCTTTGACGACTCCTGTTCTCTGTGCAACCGCCCTTTTCTCATTCTTATATATTGCCTCTTCTGTTTGTTTCCTTTCCTTCCTTTTTCAGGGGTGATCTGATTACCCATCCCACAAAAGAGTGCATTCCTCCTTCTCTAAGTTTCACTCTTATTCCTCTAATTCCTCCGCTCCATTAAAACAGTAAGTACTAAAACTTTCAACTCTGAATACCTCTCTTCTTGGTTCTCAATCTGCAACACAAAAGGTCAGAGCGCTGCATTTGGCTTCGTCTGTACAGATGTTCTGTGCTGTCATTATTCATTCTATCATATTGGAATTATTGATTAATAGGCCAGCGCGGCACCTTGCTGCAGACCCCCTTCTTGTTCTTTAAACAGAAATCGACTGCTCTTTTCTATGGGAATGCGTCTCTGCAATTTAATTACAGCACGATGCTCTTCTCGTGTCGACTGAAAACCAAAAATGGGAAACAATAGAAAACAGAGCCTGAGAGGCAAGCCTACCTGAGGGAGCTGTCCCAAGTAGTAAAGGGTGAGTTTCTTTGGTTCCAGGTAGAGCATTTCCCCAAGCTCCTGGTAGGGTTTCCAGCTGGGGGTCCAGTACCCTTGCCGAGTGAGCTGCTGGTGCCGTCGGTGGTAGTTCTCCCAGAACACGTCCTCCTGCTTGGGCTCCCAGCGCCGGTACACGGTGCTACTCCTGGCCCGCACCTTCACTCCTTTCTGTGTGGGACTGGGCAGTGGCTTGATGAGCACAAAATAACGGGGGTCCAGCGTCTTCATGTTCCCGGGCATCCTGCCCCTGCTGTTCATCGGCTCCTTGGCCTCTCCCTGCCGCTGCAGGCGGGTCGGGGCCCCTCAGCGCCGCAACAGGGGGCTGCAGCCTGGCCCCTGGGCCGAACCCAACACAGGAGTCTCCCCTGAGCAGCACTGCCAAGGGCACGGGTCAGGCCTAGACCAGGCTGTGCGGCCCGGCGTGCCCCTGGCACGGGCCTGGCCCAGCTCCTGCCTGCATGTGTACAGGCCTGGGCCGGGGGCGCCGCGCCGGGAAGCGCCCGGCCGCTCCCCTCCCCTCCCCTCCCCTCCCGCCGCCG